TTCGGGAGTGGGGAGGGGTGTGCGCCTCGTGTGTGTGCGCCTCGTGTGTGCCGCGTGAGGAGTGGCGCGTGGAGTGGACGAGGGGGGAGAGGGGCAGGAAGCGTCAGGAGGTGTCGGAAGTGTCTGGCGTGCCTCGTGCTCGCGCGAGGAGTGCACGAGGGGGGCGAGGTGCGCGAGGAGCGCATTGAACCGCTGGATGAGGACAAAGCGCGCGCAACGCGCCTCGGCCGCCGACGCCTGCAGCGCTCGCCGGTCGGAGGAAGAGGGCGCGCCGTCGTGGGAGAGGGAGGCGAGCAGCGCCGGCCGAAGAGTGAGGGCGGAGCCCGGCCGGTCGGCGCTGCTGCTGCTGCCGCCGCCGCCGCCGCCGCCGCCGCCGCCGCCCGCGCCGCCGCCGTGCGCCGAGCCGTGCTGCGAGTCGACGTACCGGACCAACTCCTCGTCGAGCCGCGGCTCCCACGCGGCGAGCGCTCGCGCAACCTCCGCTCGCGCTGCCCCCGCGGCGCCGTCCACGCCCGACGCTCGCGCGGCGTGGCGGAGCGACGGCGGCGGCGGCTCTGCCCCGCTCCCCGGTGGCAGGAGCAGCCACTTTGAGAGCGAGGAGAGCTCTGCGATCTCGTCGAGGTAGGGCAGCGCCGCCTCCCACAGCGGCAGCCCCTCCGCGCGCAGCCGCTCGCGCAGGTCGACGAGCAAGTCGAGCATCGCCTGCGCGGAGGGGGCACACGGGCCCGCGTGGCGGGAGGGAGCGGCGAGGAGGAGTGGCGGGGAAGCGAACAAGCGCTGTGCGCGGAGGGGCGACGCGCGCCTGGGACCCGGCCGGCAGCAGCGGCGGCACTCTCTGCCTCTCGTAGAGCTCCTCGTGCCACTCAACGATCGCCTCGAGCGAGCCGAAACGCGCCCAGTCAAAGTCGACGTCGCGCAGCGTCGCGTGCGGCAGCACGCGCAGCAACACGTGGCACACGCGCTCCTTGCACGGCGCGCCGCCGCTCCGGAGGTAGCGGAGAAGGTTGGCGAGCACGCTCGGGCGCAGCAGCTCCGCCGGCCTCCGCTCGGCCAGCAGGGAGAGCAAGTCGAGAGGGCTGGCGTGCGGGAGCGCGAGGGCGGCGGCTTGGCTGCGCGCGCGCCAGCCGACCGGCGTGGCCCGCAGCTTGAAGCCCCACGCCCGCTCGCTGTTGTGCGGCGCGGTGTAGTGCAGCCACACGCGGTCTGCGCGAACCCACAGGCCCTCGCTGCAGAGCAGGCCTGTTCGCAGCGCAAGGAGGTGAGCGGCGTCGACCCACACGCACCGACACGTGCGTCGCCGCAGCGCGGGCCGTCGCCCTCGCAGCACAGCAGCTGCTGCGTGCACGCCGCGTCGGCGTAGAGGGCGAGCCGCGCCCCGCGCGCCAGCTGGCTCCTGGGCGCGGGGGTGTCAGCGGGCGCGTGTCGTGCGGAGGGGCGGAAGGGGGGGGGGGTTGGGGGCGGGGACGTGTGGTCGGAGGCGCGGGTCGGCGTGGTGGCTCATTCATCAGTTCGTTAATGGGTGGCTCGTTCATTACGTATAACTACGTAACGGTGGGTCGGCGGGCGAGCCAAGAGCTATCCGACTGGTGCGTGGCTGGGAGAGGGGCGGGGGTGTCTCGGAGGTGTCCCGCGCCTCGCGTCGAAGGTGAGGGAGACGAGGCTCGCGCCCGGGCAGTGCAGCGCGCGCACAAAGTCCGTGCAAGCGGGGTGCGTCGTCTCGACCTCGCGCACGCCCGTGGCGAGCAGCGCGAGGCCCGCCACCGCCTCGTCGCCCAGCCGCTGGCCGAAGCTGGCGAAGGCGGGCACGGCGGCGTGCAGCGCCTAGGAAGTGTCTAGGAAGTGTCTAGGAAGTGTCGGCGAGGTGTCCCCGAGGTGTCTGGGGAGAGGCGGGCACGGCGGCGTGTGCAATGCCTCGTCCGACACGAGCGAGCTCAGCACCGAGTGGCCGGCGGCAGCCTCTGCGGAGTCGGCGAGCGGCGCGAGCGGCGTGGAGCCGGTCCCGCGGAGGGCCAACTTGGCGAGCGCGAGCACGTCCTCCGGCTCGCCTGTCGACGGGAGGAAGCTGTGACGAGACGCGGCTCACAGCAGCGGGCGGCGAGCGAGCGCCGCCGGAGCGCCAAAGCCGCTGAGCGAGAAGGCCGAGCTGCTGTCGAGGTGCGCCACGTGCAGCGAGGCCACCCGACCGAGCAAGTGCAGGGCGGCCCCGCGGGCATACGCCGTCGCGACGCAGCGGTGCAGCGCGGCGGCCTGACGAGATTTCCCGAGATTACCCGGGGCCACCCGAGACTTTCCGACGCGGCGGTGCAGCGCGGCGGCCTGCCGCAGCCGCGCCCGTTGGCTGAGGGTGCTGTCCTCGCCGGGGCACGAGAACGGCCAAGGGCCGCATCGAGCGGCGGGCGGCGGATCGCCGCCGCCGCCAAGAGGAGGGGCGAAGCCGCCGGAGCAGGAGGAGGTGGACGCAACGCCACTGCCGCCGGCGGGGAGGGCGGCGGGGAGGGCGGCCGGGAGGGCGGCGGGGAGGGCGGCGACGAGGCGCGCGACGCCGGTGTCGGAGGGGTAAAAGTCGTGCCCAGGCGACGGGCAAGTGCGCGAGGGCCGCTGCGAGACCGCGGCGAGGCGGCGGCTCGAGGAGAGGCTGCGCCGGAACCAAGAGCCGCCCGCCCGCTCGCGCCGCTCCTTCAGGGGGCGCGGCGGCGCCGGCGGCGACGGAGTCGCGGCGGCCACAGCCTCCGCGCCATCGCCGTCGGAGGGCGGCTGGGCTTGCGGCTGGTCGGCGGAGGCCACAGAGCGAGCCAGCGCCCAAGTCCCGCGACCGGCACCGCCCGATCGCGGCCGGACGCGGCTCTGCGGCCCGGGCTGCGCGCCGACCCACTCGGCCCACTCCTGTTCACAGACGCAGCTGTGAAGGGGCGCTCTTCGTGGAGTGCCGTCGGCCCGCCCCATCCCTCGCTCCTGCGGCCAGCCGAGGAAGAGGACGCGGACCTGCTGCCCGCCTCCCCGCACCGCGAGGACCTCCGCCTCGTGCCACTCGCCTACACGCCCGCGACCGACACACACACCTCACCGCCTCAGGGCGACCGCGGCTCCGCGGCGTGCGACGCGTGCGCACCAGTCTCGTCCGACACGTCCACCACCGCGCCAACCTGCGGCGGCGGCGGTGGCTGCTCGCCTCCGCCGCCGCCCGACGCAGCGGCGGCCGGAGCGCCGAGCAAGTACTCGGCGGCGAGCTGCAAGTCGTAGCTGGAGCGGGCGAGCGCGTCGCGGCACAGCTCCTACTCACGGCTGCAGCGGTGTGGGGGCGGCCTCCTCCTCACGCGCCGGGGTGCGGGGCGGAGGTCTTCCGTCGAGAAGCCCATCGATGCCAGCTCGGCCGCCTGCACCTCCGACGGGAGGAAGATAGGGGGAGATCTGGGGAGATCTGGGGAGATCTGGGGAGATCTGGGGAGATCTGGGGAGATATGCGCCTGCACCTCCGACGGGAGGGGCGCCGGATGCCCCTCGTCGAGCGCCGCCTGCGGGGCGTGTCGCGGACCCGTCAGGGACGCGTCCGCGTCGTGCGTGTCCCGCCCGCCGAGGGCCGCCTCCAGCGCCTCGAGCCACTCCGCCGCGCGGCCCACGTCGCCGCCGGACAGCTCGAGCGCCTCGCGGCTCACTTCCTCCTCGAAGCCCTGCGCGCAGAGCAGCAGCAGCTTCTCGCCAGCGTCGAGCTCAGGCCCCAGCTCCGCCTCCCATGCGCAGCAGCCGCCACGCCGCCCTCGCGCCGCCTTGCGCGGCGGTCCGCACCCGTCGCAGCCCGCCGCCAGCCCCGCCTCGCACGCAAGCAGCGCCTGCTCCAGCCGACTCGCCTCGTGCGACGCACCGCCCGCGAGCGGCGGCGGCGTGATGGCGGCGGCAAGGAGGAGGCGCAACCCGCCGTGG